TTCATAGATGCGGAAATGTACTTTCCATTTATTGCAAGTACATGTGTGAGTATTCTCATTTCACTTTCTAACTGGACAGGTATGGGTGAACTATACTTTTAGTTTAAAACCTGAACATTCTTCTTCAACAGCCACACATACGTTTACGATACTTATCTTTGACCTTCTTTTTTTGCAAAAAGTTTAAAGTTTAAATATTATGTTGGAAACGAATGCCTAAAATTAAATAACTAACACAATTGAATTTTATTGTATCTTATCAGTGTTTGAGCAAAGGTTAAACTCAGTTATGCATCTTATTTAAATAACTTCATATATTTTATTACTTGGAAAAATAAAATCTAATTCTTTTACTTTGCTTTTAAGTATTTTTTTTTCCATGTCTTTACTATATTTCAGGAGCGTATCAACCTAGCAATGAAGTTATGTTACGTTTCTATGCATACTATAAACAAGCGACAGAAGGACCATGCCAACATTCGAAACCTGCTTTCTGGGAAGTAGTTAAAAAAGCCAAGTGGGAAGCTTGGTGTCGTTTAGGTAACATGAGTACAACCGAAGCTATGAATAATTATGTGGAAGAATTGAAAAAGGTTAATTTTGCGAAAGAACGTAATTGTATTATATTTAATGAAATATTTAACTGTCATTATTTTTAATACTCGATCTATATACTGTACTAGATTGTGGAAACCATGTCTTATACGGATAAAGTAGCTAATTTTCTCGGTAGTCTGGATACATTTTACGAGAGTGTTCCACAAGAAGATTTGGAACTACTTGTCGGCCCTGTTTTGGAACGTATGCGTTCACAACCTGGCTCACCATTGTCTGGCTCACCCCTTGGTTGGTGTTCATACACAATGATAATACAATTGTCGATAACTCCTTCGTAAACATCTGATCATAAATAATTTCTGATCGAACAAAGACTCTTGCATCGATTAAATAGTTAAGATGATATATTAAAACAATTAAAAATTGATAATAGTTATGTTGCACAGCATCCAGAGAAACGTCACCGCACAGGGTTTGCAGCATGACCAGACATATTGCGAGTAGTTTAGAAACTAGCCCAGCCAGTAGTAACAGTGCAAGTCCATTGCCACCGGATACAGATGGCGAAGAAGAAGAATTCATAGATACCGTCGAAGTAAGCTATCGATGTTATGAAAAGTATATAAAATTGAATAAACAGGTTCTGATCTTTAATCGGTACGATTTGATTTGCAAATTATTAATTATTTACTTACAGACTGCTCCGGAACGTTCGCAGAAGGACGCAACGAAAACCTCTACTTCAAGCCAAAAAATACTGAATGTATTAAATGTTACTAATGATGTAATTAGCGAGCCAATTGTACCAAAGGAAAATTCTGTAGAATTGACTAATGGATACACTAATATAAATGGTTACACGGAAACGGTGATAGACAGTAAACAAGAAAGGACCAGGCAACGGAGTAAAAGAGATGAAAAATCGAATGTTGATTTTTACAATCAAATAGCGACAACTATGCAGAATTTACAAAGAGACTTGGATAGAATTACAGCTAGAGTGCGTAGCTTAGAAGGCCAAGCATTACACGCGTTGGCTCCGCAAGTTGTAAGTTTATTTTCTTTATTGAAGCTCTATTCGAGATATACTGCATCTTTTCTCACGCTTAATTTTTGACTGGCATATTACTACATTTCAGAGACAACCAACAACAGCGACAACTTCATACTCAAAATGGTGGCCATTACCGGAATGTTCTCCGAGATTATTCACTATATTAATTTTATGGCCGCTTATAGTACAATTTTTGATTTTATTTACACAACGCTATCGTCAACGGAGACTGTGATCTAAATGTAGCTGTTTTGTTCAAAACTTATGCAATTACTCATCATTAAGTAACGTTAAACGTAAAAGACACAGAAACTTGTAGGTACTATCGCGTAGAGAAGCATTATTATTATTATTATTATTATTATTATTATTATTATTATTGTTATTATTATTATTATTGTTGTTGTTGTTATTGTTGTTTTTTAAGGAACTATAATTTAGAAATGAATTTCGTAGTTCATTTGATGCCCTGCAAGAATCGATAAAGAAATATCTTTATTCTGTAGAAAATCAGTTTAGCATAGTAATTGTATAAACTAATTGTGTAAAATTCTCAAATTTCATAAATGCTCGCACAATTGTATGTGTAGCAATGTGTACAGAAAGATTTATTTATTTTAAAAGACGATAATTGACGGGAAAAGATCCGTTAGTCTTTGAGTATGTTTATATATTCAAAACAGGTGAAATAATTTGGTACCTAAGGTGACTTATATGTATGATAAATAATTATATGTATTCATATATTGTAATATAAAAGCAAAGATATTATATACAAATTTTATATTGTGAATTCAGGTTAAAGGTATAAAATAGACTTTATTAAAATATTCAATTTTATA